TTGCACACAGGATCTCTTACTTTCTCTTCCCTTCTCTTTCTATACAGTATATAATTCGGTCACTGGCAAAACACCATCTAATTCACTTTGATTTGCACTGACGCGCTCATTCATTCAGTAGATTGTGAAAAGAATCATGCTCATTGTGACATTCGGATACACGATAGTCTAACACTGAATTCATCTAGATTTATTATCTTGACGAAACACAGAAAGTAGACAGTGATTAAAATAGCAATAATCATGTGGAGATTAGTTAATGTTATACAATATGTTATATAATGAAATAGTGTGTGGGTAAGGTGTAAGGTGAAATGGACCAGTGGATATTGAACATATTGATAAATAGTATTGAATAGATTTTAGTAGATTTGGATGTATAATTAACTGTTGATGCAATTGATAGTAGTGTAATGTAGTAAAAGATGATGAGTTTGAGGGGTTGAATAGAATGAATGAGCCGGTGTAATGTAGTACATAATTGTGAATGTAAGTGTGTAGTTGATTGTGAATAGTTAGATATATATTTTGTTATGGATTTAAGGGAGGACTGTGAGACCTCCCCACTGACAAAAACTACACGCCCGAGCGCACCCGATTAGGGTTCGTCGCGAGTTTCAACCCACCGAGGTGCAATGGTGAGCCTCCACCCGGGGTCAGAGCATTCCTGATCACCCTGAACCCGGCGCCAGGTAAGTTTAAGCACTAGTTAATAGCCTATCGCTCGATCATTCTCAACAACATTGCAATAAAATCACTCTCTGCAAATTAACACTGCATTCCCAATTCAAACACTCATTTCAACAACATTTCATTCATTCAACTAGCTACAAGTTAGTCGCCCAACATTATTTCATACATACAGTAAACCAGATTGTAGTAGACTTGTCACTATGTCCATTTCCTTGTTAGTAGACTCTACACGTTATATACTACTCAATACATCTGATAGTTAATTCAGTAGGCTGAAAGTGAAAATCACACAGAGATTCATACATGATCGCTTAAACCGTTTCGAAACAATCATTGATCAAATATTGCACACAGGATCTCTTACTTTCTCTTCCCTTCTCTTTCTATACAGTATATAATTCGGTCACTGGCAAAACACCATCTAATTCACTTTGATTTGCACTGACGCGCTCATTCATTCAGTAGATTGTGAAAAGAATCATGCTCATTGTGACATTCGGATACACGATAGTCTAACACTGAATTCATCTAGATTTATTATCTTGACGAAACACAGAAAGTAGACAGTGATTAAAATAGCAATAATCATGTGGAGATTAGTTAATGTTATACAATATGTTATATAATGAAATAGTTTGTGGGTAAGGTGTAAGGTGAAATGGACCAGTGGATATTGAACATATTGATAAATAGTATTGAATAGATTTTAGTAGATTTGGATGTATAATTAACTGTTGATGCAATTGATAGTAGTGTAATGTAGTAAAAGATGATGAGTTTGAGGGGTTGAATAGAATGAATGAGCCGGTGTAATGTAGTACATAATTGTGAATGTAAGTGTGTAGCTAATTTTGCATCATTCCTAATTTGACAGTGTTTTGCACCACAACTACTACGCGCCATGCTGCACCCGTTGCCAATTTGTTATGTCTTATTGCTCTAGTTTCTGCTGAATTTTTTTTTATTCTTGTTTTTCGCGTACTTTATTCACGATATATTCGCGTCCTCCAATTTTCAACTGTATATATTTCATCTGATAGTCTTCATCTCCTAATTGCATCTACTTAATTTCTTAATCTTATTTTTACATCGAAACATAGTTTCTTATTTATGTTCATCTGTCGGTTTTACCAATTTTTAACTGCATTTTAATATTTTCTAATTTATCGTACATGAATAAAGTATATTCTTACTGAGCTAACTGAATGATACACTCTCTCTTCAACTGACGTTTTGTTTCTTTTTAACTGATGCCAAGGCACTAGACGGGTCAACGCGTGCAATTTCCATTTGTTTTCTTAAATGAAACCACCGTTTTTTTAGGCAAATCTCTTCATTCGAGCGCACTCTACAAAGTTTTCAATCAAATTATAGAAATCTATTAATAATTTCAACTTGCAATATTTAACCTCTACTACTGAAGTGAACTCAGAATGGGGACAACGAATTTATTGTTTTATACAAAATTACAGAATATCTTCGTAAAATATGATAACTGCATATCAAGTACTTCATTTGCAAATCTCCTATCAATTCTCGCTACCATTCTGTATGATTCTTACAATTTACAATTCCTATCTATTTCTTTTGTTGTCCTCTTTATTTCAGTCTTATGCTTCCAGGTTTTCCACTTTCCGTTGATGTCATATACTACTTATACCAGTCGATCTTAGTAGCATACATCACACTGATATTACTTTTAGAACTTAATTGTTAATTCACCACAACACTATAATTCTTGTCCTGTATTTGATTGATTCCAGTTAACCTAAAATATATATCTATCTTTGCAGAGATAAATATACTGTAATAACTTAAGTAATTATTCTAACAATTCGGTATAAATTTAATAGAAAACCTGGATCACAACAGTAATCTAAACAAAAAGTCTTAAGCAAAGATGTATAGTGGCTAACAATGGAATCCAGGACGCGAGTTTCGTCCTTTTCGGGACTCGTCAGCTGGATGTAACTTTATCCATCTTTGCTTAGAAAGCATGTGACTTAAGGCTATATCGAGGCAATTCAAACAAGTTGCACATATGCCAACATAAGACTGATCCGTTTTAGTTCTAAATAAAAATGGGAAAATACAAGTAAAACAATACCAAGTGAATTTAACAATTTTTAAGTTATTAGCCTAATATATCAAGCATGAAATTACTAAACTTAATTAATAATTAGATTCTGAAATTTTAATATTTCAGTTAACTTTTAAACGTTTTTCACTTGATCATCTTATTAACTATTCAATCAGATACATTATTATCAATTCAAATAGAGGTTAATTAGAAACAGTAGAGCAAAAAAAAAAAAACAAAGATTCATTATGTATAAGGATAATTGAGATTACATTGGTTGATGTTATGATAATATGAAAAATAGTATTTTCTACTTAAAGTTAGATAATTTATTATTTCATGCAGTTATGTTAATTTGTTCTAAGCCTATTCATTATTCAACAATAGGCTGATTATTTAAAGAATGAATATATATTGAGAATTCAATAAGTTCTCTTATTGAGTTTATCATTTTTGGATTATTTTAACTGTTAGCTTTTATGGTAATGTGTTGATCTCATTATGAATTTGAATATTTTATTATATTTGCCGATTATTTCTTATTATTATTATTATTTCCCTTATAGTAAATAAATGATTACATAGATCGTAAAATATAATAAATTGATTGTTTCCCATCTTTAAATAGAATAGTTATCCTTAAAAAAAAAGAAAAAAAGAAAATAAAACTTGCCATGGCAACCAACTATATTCAAAATAATTTTAATAGAGTGTGTATTATATATTGTTTATAATTCATTTTTATTGGGACTGTAATTCAGAATATGAATTTCATTCTTTTAGAATTTGTTAGTTAAATTCATATACAGTCAAGTAAATTTCTATCCCCAATAAAATAACACATCACTTGTCATAGAAATCATATCAGACCTAGTGGACTGTTGGTTAACGAAATCTTGGGATGGATTCAGAAAGATAGACTGCCAACTATTAATTTACATCACTTGTAGTGTAGGCGAACTGTCTGTTTGTTAACCATAGGATGAGTCTACCGTAAAGCAGTTAACTATGTTCTACTTTATGTGTATAAAACACGGTCATTAAGGAATGAAAATATTCATAAGTTACTAGTATTTGATGATAAGTGTCTCTGAATCATTTCTCACGTATTTCGAGACCACTGAATAAGCTATGTTGATATTAGGTTTGTGAAACTAAGTAACAATGGCAAATTGGTTGATGAGATAGTGAATCCTCACAAATTGGTATGGTTGAGACATGTATTATATAAGCCCAAACATCGCCTATCTCGACCGGCGAAATTTGTTAGAGGACAAGTAGGTTGTAAGAAATATAGGGGCTGGAAACTAAGATATAGGACCAGTCCATGAATCCAGAAACTGTAGGATTGAGCCCTGTTGGTATGTATAAACTATCATGTTATTGTCTGTACAATTAGCGTAACCAGTAATGAAACACTTTAAGTAATATGGCTTAGATTCATTCACAATAGTTCAGGTACATTCAGTTTTTGTCCTCCTTTAGATATTAAGTTCCAAAATCCTCCTATGTTTGTTTTCTTTTTCCTATATCTAATCTCTACTACTACTACCACCACTACTTCGAGTGATGCTATTATTACTTTGACTAAACTGAAATTCGTCATAATGATTTTACATCAGTTTACTAATATGGTGTAAGAACTTGAATTGATGCAAATCTGTTCCAAGTTGTGTTTTTTTTCTTATATAACTGGCAACCAAGCTATGATCAAGAGAATTATTGGGACAATTATAAAATAAACTCATTAATATATTTTAAAATGACTAATTAAGTACTGTATTCGACAATAATAGGATAGTACAAATTATTATAACAATATTGAGCTTGAATAGTAATAATAATAATAATAATAATAATACATTATTCATTTCCTCTCTCTAAACAATCAGAAGTACATTTTATATATGGAAATATGATTGGCAAGATTTGAATAGTGTCAAACGACCTTCAATCTTTTTTTTTATATTATTTTTCAATAAATGACTATAATTAAGAATCAATTACATAAGTTTACTGAATTACATTAATATAAACCAATTGTATTTGTCCGTTTCTTTTTCTTTTCTTTTCTTTTTTTGTTTGTTTGTTTGTTTGTTCTTAGATATTTAAAAATCAACAGGATATAAATTTAATTTCTATTAGAAATATCTTCATTAAATTAATTGATACAAAGTGTATTTATTTATTTAGTTAGTTAGTTACTAAATCAACTTGTACACTCAATATGCCAAGTGATTTAGATATAGAGTTTAATGAAGAATGCATTATTGAACATAATCGGTTAGTTGATTAATCAAAATTTCATTATAAAATCATAATATAATTCATGTTTTATGTAGTTTGAATTGATTTACAATTATACTAATAAACTATAATTATTGTTGGTATCATTATCAAAGTTTGATCTGATAATTTTAAACATATTAAGCATTGATTAGATTGTTAGATGCATATCGCTTAGGAGTCCCACAATAAAACGAAACAGCCGTCCAATGCTTTCAGGTTTTCCATGGTGGTCTAGTTTCAATTGACTCATGAATTCAACTATTAAAATTACTACAATCTCCATAAAACCCCTTCTGAGATTGTTATAAATAAGTTATTATATTTGAAGATATTCCAATGAGTAGAAAAATTAATATTTTTGCGTTGTTCTTTCGTATTATTTAAACTTGGATTAATTTTGATTTGGTTATTTATTCTCTGAAGAAGCAGCTTACACCGACTCATGAAACATCAGAAAGTTTAATTTTTCTACTCATTGGAATATTATAAATATAATAACTTATTTATATGATTGTTGCTGTCTGAAAAACGCCAAGTTAAATATAAATGATAAACAATATAGTATAGTTGAATTATGATAATAGATTACTACAATTTATACACATAGTTCCCTTTATTATTTTAAAGAGAGCAAGAACAAAGGTTAGTGCAGAATAATATGAATTCATTTTATTTCGTTAGGTTCTCATCAGCTGCTTACAACCTAATAAATTGTGAAATTCAAAGTTATTATAGATATTGACATACTTATACAACAGAGGGCGATGAAGGATGAATATATGTGACATAATGTAGCAAACATTTCGTTAGAGTTAGTGAGGTCATAAAATTTTGTTTCGAATATATAGAGTTTGGGAGGGAAAGTTCCGGAAAATTGAGATAGTGATTAGAAATCATGGAATTAAAACACATTAGACGATTATGTAATGAAGTAACTGAAAATAGATTAATGTTAATAAAGAGAGATATGAATTGAAATTGGTCAGTTATGAATGATGTAATTATAAAATTCAGAAAGAGTTGGAATGACGTAATAAAAATAAATAAAAATAAAACGGGGTGGAGTGAATGTTACCAGGGCAAAGAAAGATTTATTACTGTTTCTTTTTGTATACAAAGATCTGGTTTTAAACGTTTGATTGCTATTGCTTCGGCGAATTTCAAAAGGTTTGAATTTGATTGCTTGTTGATCACCTTGAAATGCTGATGTTTTAATTATTGAAAAGAATAAAATAATAAATATACTTTAAGATCGTCAAGGAGATTGATTTTGATAAAAGTTTGTCAAAGTTATGAGTTGCTAGTAACTTATGAGGGTGAATATGACAAAATTACTCGTGTACTTTAAAATTCCTTCACTGAAATGTAATTTATTCTATCGAAGCTAATATCTAAAGTCATTTCATTCACGGTACCAGTAGATTGGAGATTACATAACAATGTTATAAGCATAACTAATAGATATTTTTTAATGTTATTTTTTATACCAGTCTACTGTAATCTGAATAGTTTGGGCTTATTGAGTTCCTTAAGACTACAAACACAACATTCAGATAAGTGTCATTTGTTTTCTTCAGGATAAAGATGATCTGGTTGATATTTCAAAAAATGAACGAAAAAATAACTTAAAAATCAGTCTAGCTAATAAATATGTCAAGACATAACACACTTATGTCATTGTACTGAATTATTTTTTATAAACATTAAAAATAGGAGGTAAAGAAGATTAGAATGCGTATAGATTTCAGTCTCATATTAAACAAGTTAAAACAATGGATCAGTAAATCAGGTTCAACTGGTTTGAGTTCTGAAGGAACAATGATATTTTATGCCAAACTCTCTCTCTCTCTCTCTCTCTCTCTCTCATATATATATATATATATATATATATATATATATATATATATATATATATATATATATATATATATGAAATCCTTCACCTAAGTGAATAATCGAAGGATTCTTAGATGTAATAAACACTTTAAAGTTTTGATCTAGCATTTATTAAGTTTCAGCATTAAATGCTTATGATAATGACATTTTAGAGAACTTTTAAATTATCAAACTTAAATTTTGAGAAAAAACAATAAGGCAATTGTAAAATGACTGAAGCATTAATTTAATGTTAGTTGAAATATAAAAACCATGGACAAATTGTACGATCTTTTAGTTATCCATTAAATATTCTACAAAAGATGCTCACATACCAAAAATACTAGCTAGCTAAAAGTGTTATGGACATATTACGGCTTGTGTGAAAGTATTAGTGATGAGTAGTATTATGTAATTTCTTCTGATGGTTGATGGGATTATAAAAATCTCCACATCTTAAGGACAGCATCGAATACAATGGACAGGTTGGATGCAACTAGACGATTTGGACTTTGCAGATGACGCACCTCTTCTATTACATACACATCAGTAAATGCAGATCAAGACAAACAGTGTAGTAGCAGTCTCTGAATCAGTAGGACTCCACATACACAAAGAAATAAGAAAGACCCTCAAATACAACACGGAGAACACCAACCAAATCATATTTGATGCGGAAACTCTGAAACAGGTGAAAAGTGTCACGCATCTAAGCAGCATCTTTGATGAGTGTGGAAGATCTGACGAAGACGTAAATGCGAGGACTGGCAAAACAACGATAGCATTCCTACAGTTGAAGAACATATGAAATTCAGAACAGCTGTCAACCAATATCAAAGTGATAAACTTTAATACGAACGTCAAAACAGTTTTACTGTAAGGAGCTGAGACTTCGAGAATTACCACAACCATCACCAAAAGAGTATACGTATATTACTGAATTTCCGTTCGTCGGATACGATCAGCAACAGCATACTATAATAGAGAACAAACCAGGTTCGAGCTGAGAAAGAAATTAGGAAAAGACGCTGGAATTGGATAAGACACACATTGGGGAAAACATCAAACTGTATCATGAGGCAAGCGTTAACTTGGAACCCTGTAGTGAAACGAATAAGAAGAAGGCCAAATAGCACACTGCTTCGAGAATTGGAAGCAGACATGAAAAGGATGAATAGCAACTGGAAAGAAGTGGAAAGAATCACAGAGGACAGAGTTAAATGAATAATTCTAGTGAGCGGCCTGGCATTCTCCATAAGAGGTAGCAGGCGTAGGTAAGTATTATGTAACATAAATTATCTGTCTAAATCTTTTAAATTAGTTGATATTATCATTGCCCTCAAACGCCCTGGTATGGTCGAGAGTGGGGTGGGCCCGCCCCCTCCCGAAATGCTTTCACACGGCCACGCGTATACAGCCTCTGCCAGGGAAGTCCTACTCACTGCCTTCTCGTGGCGGGGGTTTTCTTTACGAAAATGAGAGGACGAAAAGCGAATGTACGGCGCTTTAACCGGATCCCAAACCAATGGTGCATATGGGCTCCAGTATCCTGCGGGAACAAATGGCCTATGAACCAACCGTTGGTCACCGGCTAACATGGGATTGCATCTCCTCACGATGCTCCACTGCCTTGTGGGTCAGACCTTTAGGTCAAAGGCTCGGGGTGTGGCCCCCTAAGAAAACCACCTGGTTCGGTCTGGGCACCCGAGCAGTGTCACAGACCACACACAAATATAATGATAGTGAAAATGATGGTATTAACTGAAAACTTTATTCCAGCTTTGATTTACAGTCAAACAATTCACATTATAATGTGGCGCATATATATGTGGTGCCCTCTTGTACCAATATTTATGTGTTCAAATAAATAAATAAATAAATATATTGTCATTAGTAATACTAGCAAATATGTTGGTCTAGCTCAAATCGACTCATGAATTCAACTATTCAATTAATACAATCTCTACAAAATTCCTTTCTGATAAAATTCAATATTTCTCTTTTTTTTCTCTTAATCATCAATAGTTTTATTACTTAAAATCATCATATAATTTCTTTTTATATAATTCAGTCTAAGAGCTTTACATGGATGTCCAGAATTAATCCTTGATTATGAATTAGCTAAAGATGCACAAAAATATGCAGAACATTTGGCAAGTGTTAATGAACTTGAACATTGTACAGATACTGATTCAGGGGAGAATTTAGCTTTTTTTACAACTACTACAGTTGCTCAGAAAAAAGATTTTACAGGTCAGTTACTTGATATTTCTTAATAATGTATATATTTATTGAATATATACTTAAGTTAACAAATTGTGGTTTGGTTGAAGTTAGACATTAGCACCGTTGGATGCCCGCTCAGTGGTCTAGTTGATTAAGCGCCTGGCGCGAGATTGATAGTTCCTGGTTTCGAATCTCGCGGGCTGCGGGATCGTGGATGCGCACTGCTGAGGAGTACCATACTAGGACGAAACGGCCGTCCAGTTCTTCCAGGTTTTCCATGGTGGTCTAGCTTCAACTGACTCATGATTTCAATCTGTGAAATTGTATACTAAATATGTATGGTTATAGTATCTTATATATTCATAATTAGTTTATATAAAGCGATTTATGTTTAAAATTAAAATTTCTGAGCACAGAATAAGTGATATTGCAATGAACTTCGGTTTTATATTTATCTAGTTTGTGAATATTCCAACAACAAAAAAGGCATATGAAATTTCTTTAAAAAGTAACTATCACTATTCATCGTCATCTGTGAATGTTTTTCATTAGTTTTCTCTTTTCAAACTTCTTTTCATTGATGTATGGATTCCATTTAAGAGATCATCTCTTATTTATTCAAAGAACAGATGAGATGATAAATATACCATTTCTGTAATATTTTGATTTATGATATGTTGCAAGCTTTTTATAAAAGTACTTGAGTATATACAGTACATATTCTTAAATTAATCCGTTAAATAGGAAACATTTACACGGTTGAAAATAAGTTTCTTAAAAGTTTAATGAAACAAACAGTATCATATTTAACCACCAGAGTAGTATTTTATGAATTTAGATCAAAGATATTCAAGATTTAATCCAATAATTGGGATTATCTTAAACACTTCTAAGTGTATAATAAAAATGTGTTTGTATGTTAGAAACTTATGGTCTATTCAAATTTAATAGAGATTTCGGTTAGGGTTAGGGTAAACAATACTGTAACTGAATGATATCTTATTACTGAACCAAGTTAACGAATAGATGCAATAAATTTTAAAACAAAAAGAGCTGTTATATATATATATATATATATATATATATATATATATATAAACTACATAATGAGTCCTATCAGAAACCATGTCAGTTCATCTGAAAAACATAATGATTATGACTATTTACAAGATGTCCGTAAGTGATGGTAATAAACAATTTAGGTTACTTAAATGATTAGTGTTTTTTTTCTAATACCCTGCCGAAGTAAATCGATCACGACTAAAAAAAAGCTCTAGTTCAACTAAATAAACTAATCAGAAGTTAATAGTAGAAGCGATGATGTAATTAGAATAATCCAATGAGTAGAGAATAAAATTTCCGATGTTTTGTGATTCATTTTAGGACATTTCTTCAAAGCTTAAATAATTTTTTTTTGTTTTTATGGATAACAATCTACATAGTGCTAAATGTATTTGAAATTATATAGTCAAACTTTGGTAATTATACCCATGATCAGAAGTGATTTGACTAGTTAATCTATTATAATCAACTAGATCACCTATATCATAGTGATTTGACCATAGTTAGTATTCACATTTAGTTTATTCGCATTAATTAAAATTTCGATAAAGATTTTCAGATATTCAACCATTAACTTTGATCTGCGTCTGATTCTACGTTAGATTTTTCAACATACTGATATAGATTATCCTCTAAATTTATCACATCGATATAAAAACCCTGTGATTAGCATCTTAATTATTTCCTGTATAATTATTAACACATTATTTAAAGAGAATAAATCAAAACATAATGTACAGTCATAATGTTCAGAACATACTGTATAGGATGTTAAAAGTTTTAATACAAAACTTAATGTTATGTTATTCTTAACAATTTCCTTCTTTTTAAATCAAAAAAGAACTTTAAGAATTTGATATAATACAAACTTAAACTATTAGTTGATTAAAAGCAATTGATGACAATTCTTAGAAGTAGATTTCGTGCAACTTATAACCTATCAGTAGGACGTATTCATCATATTGAGAGAACTGAAGAATTTTAAACGTATACTATACCTGGTAATGCTGCCAATTAGTTAAATGGTCAGCGATTGCACGACGATGAGTATTAAATCTAGGTTCATGACTTTACATTAATTGCCTTTATCCGCCTAACATCATAGAAAGTGTAACAGTGTCTAGTCGCTTAGACTAAGGGGGGGTAGTTTGGTGAAAAATACTTACTATGTCCGCTTTTGAGTTCAGAACTGTAAGTGCGATAATCGTGATTCTTGAACCTCAATCACTATATGGTTTATCTCAATGGTTACTTACTTGCCCATTTAAGCTTGATACTCCTCTTGGGGCATAGGCAACCAACCAAGGATCTGTTAGCACTTCTTCCTTAGCTCTCCTTTCCAGTTTTTGTCAAGTGGCATCCATGATCATAATGTCTGCCTTCAATGTGTTCTTCGGTCTTTTTCTTTTTCTTTTCCCTAGAGGATTCCAGTTCAGGACTGGTCTTTTGATACAGTTTGATGGTTTCTGTTGAGTCTTTCCTGTTCACCTCAAGAGTCTTTTTCTAATTCCCCTTCCCATAAATGGTAGCTAGTTCGTTGACTGACAGAGTAGAGTATTGTTAATGGTCTCTGTTCAATGGATTGAAAGAATATTGAGTAGGCAGTTGTTTAAGAAAGTGGAGATCTTAATCAGACCAACAACTAGGAGAAAGAGAAGTGGCGTAAGAAGACACCTTCACTCAGAATGGATCTGTGAGCTGCATTAAACTTTCGTAATACTGCTTGTCGAACTACACAATATTTTGTATGCTTCAGTTTTGGCTTAACTATCACCAGGTGTTGATCTAAAGCTACACTAGCTCCTCTATTTGTCTTGGCATTTTCCGTAGACATGTATTTTTGTTGATGCAGACCCGGTCGATCTAATTCTCTGCAGTGAAATCCACTGAAACCTATGTAGCCTGTTGTCTGAGTTTGCGGGGTAAAGTAGTGGCACTTATCAAGAAACCACTGTTTCAGGAGTTTTCTAAAGCATAAGAATTCAACGAAATTCTCTGGCATCAGATGAACATAAAAAACATACATATTTTCAAGTTTTAAAATCTATAGACTTTACTTAGATTTATTATATTCAAAGTTTGATACTACCACCAGACAACATCAAAATAATTGAGTTGTACTCTTTCAGTTCATCGATATATGTTGACACAAAATTAAAATTTTAGTTAATCTGATGAATTTACGTGGGAATCCATCTTTGATGAATATTTGTCGAAATTGAAGCAGTTGGTCGTTTTTTTTTGTTATAATAGTATAGTAGACTAGTCCTCGAGGATAAATAGTTAGTCAAGTTTCCCCTTCTACAGCTTAAGTAAGTGACTTCTTCTAATAGAAGGTCCTTGACTGATCATTGAAAAATATAATGAGAATACAGAGACAGTTTATCAGCAATAACCTACAACTTCTTACGTACGTACAACAGTTCGAGTTGTCACACCACATCAGCACAAATATGCAGTTATCGATTCAGACCCCGTAATGGTAGAGGCGGTAAGAGTATAAGCAGCAATCAGAAAGATTAGGGTTCGAAGATGTTAATCAAGGAGTATAATACAGTGAAATAAATTTGGAAAGAGAAAAAAGGAAGGGACATGAAGAATTCAGAAGATTATAATTTGGGAGAACACAAAGAATGGATGCACCTGCGCTATTGCAAACGATTTTAAACCATGTCGTTCAAGGCCCCTAACCATCGGTTGCCATCATCTCGCAGTCCCCAACCAGGTAGTCTACACCTACCAATATGACTCAGTCCACTTGTCAGTGACTTCATAGATTTGTGCCATGTTTTGGTCTGGTCGCCACTAGCTTTCTTCCAATCTACTCCTACACCATAAAACATCGCACGTCGAGGCAGTCGGTAGTTGGGCATACATAACACGTGTCCCAGCCATCTCAACTGATGAAGTTTCACTACTTCATCAATTGATTTGCCATCCTTACCTAGTACCCGTTTCCTAACAACTGCATTACTTACTCGATGGTCCCAGGATATACGAGCAATGTTTCGAAGACACATATGATCGAATACTAGTAACCTACGAATATCCTCTACTCTTACCGGCCATGTTTCACTGCCATAAAGTAGGACGGAACGAACTGCTGTGCAGTAAACACGTCCTTTGGTTGATAGACGGATATCTTACCTACGCCATAAATGACGCAAGGGGGAGAATCGCATCCCGAATATGCTTGCATTGTTGCTTACGGTGGTCAGAAGACTCTGCATTTTGTCAGCGTCTTCACCAAATAGAACTGTGTCATCAGCATATTCTAAGTCAAAAAGTGGATCTCCCGGTAAAACTTCAAATCCTGGAAATTTAGATGAAGGAAGTGTTATCTCTAAAAGCACATCAACGACAAATTTAAACAAGAATAGAGACAGTGGACAGCCCTGACGAATACCACTTGAGCTTATCACTTCTGATGACAGTTTGCCATAAACTTTCACTCGGCCAGTTGTGTTCGAATAAAGAAACTTGTATAAGGTTAATTTACTTCTTTAGTACTCTTCAGTGACAAACCTAATGATACGTTGACTTACTTAAATTATTTTAAGTAAAATAAGTTATCATTAATCGGTATTAAATTTCTGCAATACGAAATATTAACTCAAATAATCCAAAACAATATGTATAAAAACAACGACATAGTATCTTCGAAATATTTACCTAAAAAGTAAGCTTTACTGTAAATTTTGTCAAAAATATTTATACAGTTGAGATTATGAGTCAATTGAAGCTAGACCACCATGGAAAACCTGGAAGCATTGGACGGCATTTCGTCCTGTTGTGGGACTCCTCAACAGTGCCCATCCACGACCCCGCCTCGCGGGGTTCGAACCCAAGACCTATCAGTCTCGCGCCAGGCGCTTAATCAACTAGACCACTGAGCCGGCATCCAATGGTGTTAATGTCTAACTTCAACTAATCCACGACATTGAGCGACACACCCACCATTGTCATTAGTGAATTACTACCTCACAAG